AGGAATGCCTGCTTGGCTGCCTGCAGAAGATAACATACGTTCCCCACCCTCCCTGTAACCTACTGCCCCATCCACTCTCACCTGGACAGTGTGAACAGCCTCCACCTTCTCTCTGCTCCGACCCACCCCTCTAAGTGTGTTCTCCACCAGCAGCCAGAGCCAGCCCGTTCAAACTTGGCAGAGCACTTCCTTGGCCACGCAGGAAAGTCTTCACCATTAGAGGGCCCTGTGAGCCCCGGTGCCTGCCTTCCCTTCCTTGCTCCTTCTGCTCCAAGACCTCACCAGGTTCCTTGCAGTCACACACATCTTCGTGCTACACTGTGAGTCCCTCAGGCCTTGGGGACTTTGCACGTGCTGCTCCTTCAGCCTTGAAAGCCCTTCCCTACTTTCATTGCTCACTCTCTCCTATGACCTAGGCCTCGGCTCAAAGGCCACCTCCTCCAGGAAGCCTCCAGGTCTCCCCCTCTAGAGGCTTCCTATTCCTCGGTCCTTCCTCTCTTCTATGATCACCAGGGACCCCATTTCCTAGGATGCTAATTTGTGGCACCCCACCAGACTCTGAGCCCAAGGGTAAAAGCTTTTCCCCCCCCCTTCTTCTTTTCAATATTCCTTTACTTATTTCTTTCATGAGTAAGAGAGGGAGAGAGAGAGTGTGCACACATCAAGGAGGTCTCTGGATTTGAACCAGGAACCTCCCCACATAAGATTGCCTTGCAGAGGATCGTATTTTACACTGTGCTGCCATCAAGTCCCAGAGAAGGGACTTTTTGCCTGTTCGCACTGCAGGGACTTGCTGAAGGACCGGCGCAGGGGCAGCCCTTGGTTTTCCAGTCCTCATCCCAGTGGTCCCCTGACTCCAGGAACTAGGGGGAGCTATGAGGAAGAAGGAGCTGGCAAGCTGCCGTTCTCCGAACAACCCCAACAGGCCCAGCCACTGAGGTACACACTGTCAGACATGGCTCCGCAGCTGGGACCGCCTAGGGGGTCTGAGTCAATCTGCAGTCCAATCTAAAGGCTGGGTGTCATGGCGCCCCCTGTAATCCCAGCAACTCAAGAGGCTGAGGTAGGAGGATCGGGAGCTCGAGGTTGACATGGGCAACACAGCAAGGCCCTGTAGTCCCTGGTGAGAGGCTGACTCAAATGGATTGACAGTAAGACCCTGTCTCAAAAAAGAGAGAGAAAACAGCCCCAAACAGGCCCGAGGGGAGGAAGGGCTGAAATCACAGGGCCAGAAGGAAATTTCCACCCTGAGCCTCCACAGCACCCAAATGTCACCCAAAGTCACCATGGCCTTTGCACATCATGAATGAGACATTGCGGGGGTGGACGGAGGACCACAAAGGGGCACAGCCTGGGGCTTACACATTCCCACAGCCGTGGCAGGTGGGAGGGGTGAGAGGAAGAGGAGGGGAGAGCAGAGATGATGCTGAAGCCAGGGAGGCCGGGGAGGGCTCCTGGGAGAAGGAATGGGAATGCAGGGGAAGAGGATAAGGGGACAGGCAGGTGCAGCCAGCGTCCGCTCTGAACCTGAGGAGCAGACCACACCAGGAAGGCCAGAGGAGAGCAGCTCAGAAACCAGAAAGAAGAAGCCAAGACTTGGACAAAGACCCAGAGTTTGCACTGGGGGACAGTTAGTCAACAAACATGGGGGCCACTGGCTCTATTCCCAGCACTGCCCCAGGCCTTCCTCCGGGAGTTGCAGGCTGGAGTAGGGGGCACTGACAAGACATTGCCCTGAATAGGGTGGGTTATGGGGGAACCAAAGTGGGCATGTCAGCCCCTGCAGCAGTTAGGTGACAGCCAGGAACGGGCACTGCAGGCAGAGGGGCAGCGTGAGTCAAGGCAAGAGGCAGGGGTGCAGCAAGCCAGAGGAGCAGCAGCGTATGGGTGTCTGGAGGGCACTGTGGAACAGGGGCTGCAGCTGGGGGCAGCCCAGAGGGACTCTGGCCCTTGCCAGGTACCAAGTCGAGCACAATGACACTCATCTCTCTCCAACTCTGCTGAAGAGGGGCTGTGGCTCATCTCTAGAGGAGGAAACCGAGGCTCGGCAGGGTTAAGAAGGCTGCCCACTTTCTGGGTGGAGAGCTGGGGGTAACCCAAGGGCACAGACATTCCCTATTGTCTCACTGGCTGGTGCTACCAGAGAAGAGAGTCAAACACAGTGACCTCTCTGTTACAAAGCAAAGTCCCAGGAACCCAGATTTCTGGAGAACCCCTACAGGAGTCCCACCAGTATAGACAGAAGAGATGTCAACCCAGGGGTGCCACCCACACAGACCAGGTCCAGGGCAAAGTGTAGACTACATCAACAAGACATAGTCCCTACACTCCTGGTGCCTCAGGCCCAAAGGTTCCCAGCAACAGCTGAAGTGAGTAGAGCCCTAGGGGCACCATTTCTTCCTTTGTTTTCCATCCACAATGCACGGAAGTCTGGCAGTCCAGGGGCAATTCCTGGCTCTTCTATTTACTAGCTCTATGCGCTTGAATCCACGTGTAACCTCTCTGGGCCTTCTTAGTCTCCTTATCTGTGAAATGGGGATAATAATGTCACTCTCTTAACACTGATGGGCAGGTTAACTTCAGTGCAGTGCCTGTGGACCACACGTCTTCAGTAAATATAAGCTATTATTATGATGTTTCTGATTAGTCAGGTGCAAAGCTGGAACTAGATACAGGGGTGAGGAGATGGTCCAGGCCCCAAAGCCTGGGGAGGGAAACAGGAAAAGACAGACAATGACAGAAGGGGGCAGATAATGGCTATAAAGCCTCATGATGCTGCAGGCAGGAAGCAAGGCCTTCATGAGCCCAGAGAAGCTGCCAGTCCAGTTGAGGGTGGCGGCAGGAGGGGGTTTAAGAAAGTTCCCATCTAGGGACTCAAAGGAGAAGTTGGGATTGTCCAATAGAAGAAAAGGTGCTCCAGTGTGGACAAAAGATTTGGTGGACTCAGGGCACTGAAAGAAGTTCCATGGCGCTGCTGACCCTGAGCAGGGCAGAGGGGGTAAGCCTAGGGAGTGGGTCTAGGCTGATCCTGCCGTGCTTCAAATGCCAGCTGAGAGCTCAGGCCTCAGCTGTCTTGCCTTGCCTTGCCTTGCCTTGCCCTGCCCTGCCCTGCCCTGCAGGGAGGCCCCAGAGGAAATGCCTAAGACAGAAACTAGTTAAGAAATATAAAGGGAGACCCAGTGGTGTGCCAGCACTTATACAACTGGACCCATATGAGAAAGGTCCTGGGTTCACGTCCAAGGACCTCCCTGAGCATGCCAGGTGCACGTGAACACCCATGATCCCAGATGGCTGAAACCAAGGGTGAACTGAGATGTGAAGGCCCTGTTGGGTGCCTGTCTCCCTGTCTCACTCTCTCTCTGTCTGTCTCTTATGGAGAAGAAAAGAAAGAGAGAGAAGGAAGGAGGGAGGGAGGGAGTGGTAGAGAGAGAGAGAGAAAGAAAGAGAGAGAGAGAGAAAGGAACTTAAGGGAAAAAAGAAATACGAGGGGGAAGGAATGAAGCCAGGTGTTCTTCATTCAGCCTCTTACCTGAGCTCCCGGAGCTGGCCCGAGCCTCCCCAGACCCACTGGCCTTCGCCATGCCTGGCGCCTGTGGCTGGTTCCTAGTGGGCGTGCTCCTGTCCGAGGCGCTGGCCGAGCTCTCCAGGGAGCTGCTGCTGGAGCTGGGTGCCGTGGTCAGCAGGTGCTGCTGCTCGGTGCCCAGCACATTCTGGGCCTTCTCAGCTTGCAGGTGAGGCTGGATGGGGAGGAGGAACAGCAGTAAGTCCACTAGCTAGCTCCTCTTCCACTCTTCTCCCCAGCATTTACACCCTTGCCATGACCACTTCACAGTTTACATGATGCTTCTGCCCACACCTGCACGTTCTTTCCACACACAGCACTTTTTGGGAGGTGTGATTCTCAGTGGTTTTTGTGTTTCTGTTATCAGCATCTAGCTACCTGGAGTGTGGGCTCTGCGAGGGCCGGGCCCTGTGGCCTTGTTCAGCAAATAGTCTTAGAGGCGGGGCAGGATTTTCATACTCATTTTGCATAATGAAACAGGAGGAAAACAACTTTCCTAAGGTCACCCCATCAGCACAGGGGGATGTGGTCCAGCCTAGTAGCTACAAGCAAAAAGTAGCCCCCAGGAAACAACTGCGATTCCAGGCCTCCCTCCTCCTATACAAGTCCGAGATGTGGTCTGAGCAGAGGCGGGAGAACTACAGTCTCCCACTCCCCTCGGGCCAATTACTGCAGCTCCCAGCTCTCAGCTCCTGCTCCCCCATGGGCTCTGTGGCTTCTCTGATGCTGGAGGCCACCCACAGATTCTGATGCCAGGCTGGAGGGATCCTATACAAGTGACCTCATGAAGCCCGTACAGGCTCCAAGAGGGTGAATCCTGTGCTCGATACCCTATGGCTGACCCATGGCAGGAGCAGGACGAGCCCAGGCTGGTGTGCAAAGCTGCACGACTGCCCTCTTGCTTTCCTGGGTGGTCCCCCACTGGGCTTGCTTTCCCTGTTTTTAGTGATGATGGTATAGCAAGTTCATGCTGAACCTTCCCTCAGGTAGTCTGACCTCAGCCACACCCACCCCATCCCCAGCTCTGCTTTGAGTTTGGAGGGTGAGGCGCATCCAAATGTCACTCCTCACAAGCCACAGGGAAGGGGCTTTCTGGCCTGGGCTCTGGCCCCGTGCGTTGGCTAGAGCCAGGCAGAACAGAAACCCCAAAAGGTCACAGCACACCTCCCTCTCCCAAAGCCACAGCTGCCATGTTTGGGCAGTCTGTGGGCAGCACAGATGCAACCTAAGGCCTCTTCCTTGGGCAGGGATCCCAATGGACAGGGAGGACCAGGGCAGCTCATTTCAAAACACAGGCTCCGTGGACCAGCCCATGGCATGGCGGTTAAGGCAGCTGGATCCCCTCTGGCCGACCTGGCAAGGTCCTAGAGCTGGAAGATTGCAAAATACACTGAGCACCTATGAGTGCATGCCCAAAATCCCAAAAGAAGGGAAGGGTGGAGGAAAGGGGATTGTGGTGCAACCATTCCCCATGGTAGGGGGTGTCCTCTTACTTTCCCTCTTACCATACAGGCCCTCTGGCAAAAACAAAACTAACAAAAAACCCCACAGAATCCTAGTCAGCCAGCTCCCTTTACCTCCCAGCCATACTGGGCAGAAGCAGAAACCCTTGCACCTCCAGGTTCCTGCCCGGCCCTTGTCTGTATGTGATGTGTGTATGTATGTTCACAAGACTCATACACCTGTATCTACCATTGTGAGGGTGTGTGAAGTGTGTACACACAGGTGTCTAGGTTGAAGAGGCACATGTGCATGTCTGTGAGTGGTACAATTACTGTGTATACCAGGGGTAGCAGAGGTACTCTCACGAGCTGTGCTACCTTGGGAAAGTTACTTAACTTCTCTGGGTCCAATTTTCTGGGCTGTAAGGACTGGGGTGATACCTGTGGTACCTGTGTGTGGTAGCATGACTGTGGGGATCAGTAATGCTCAGCACAGTTCCTGACATGTGTTCAGCACCTGAGAAGATTCATACTCACTATTAAACGGAGCTTGTGCATGAGAGTCTATGAGGTGACTGTGAGTGAGCTCACCCATGTGGATACGCTGGTCTTTTCTAAACAAAGGAAGTCCCTGTCTCCCATGGCCTGAGAGTCATTTCTGTAGCAGAAGGTACTGAGTCACCTCTCCTGACTCCAGTGGCCCAGCTCTGCCGGCCTCTTAGCAAGGACCAGCTGCCGGTCAGATGAATGGCACAGGGCACAGGGCAAGCAAGGGGCTCGTGGTTGGGAGTGGGAGCCCAGGGACTGAGGGCACATGGGGAAGTGGTCAGCCTCTAAAGGCAAGCCCTGCTGGGACCAGGCAATGCCTGGAACAGCTTGGCATGTCTCCCCTGGCAGAACAGGACAGTGGTAAAGGCCACACCTACAGTTTCAGACTAAGTTTCCAACATGGCCTAAGCCACTTCTCCCATGATCAAACTTTACATGAGTATCTGAACTCCCTGCCTCTCAGTTTCCTATCTGTAAAATAGGGATGATGATGTCCCCCCATCACAGGGCTATGTGAGGATTCGGTGACACAGCACAGGCCAAGAGCCTGGCACAGGCTTTGCCACGGTGTGCTGGACCCAGCTCAGACCTGGGCAAATTCCTTCCCAACTGCATAGTCGGGAAGGGCTTGGTAGCTCCCTCGGGAAGGGAGCCAGTTACCAGCACACCACAGGCTCTGCACACAGTGGCACTCACAAAGAGAAGCCGAGTTGCTCACAGTGAAGCGACGCTGAAGGGAAAGGGGAAGCAGAGGCGACTGGCCGCACCCAGAGTATCTTGTGTGCATGGGGATTGGGAAACACTGGGTCAGGAAGAAGGAGGCGGTGGCTGGGCTGCTGGACTAGAACTGGGATGGACGTTTGTCTATGTGCTGCCCAGCAACTGTCAGCATCATAAAACTGAAGCCAGCAAAAGGAGGCATGGGGAAGTTTGGCCCCTGGGGGACTGAGAAAAAGGCTGGGTCCCCACTGAAATACCACAGGGCAGGGCCAAGAGCCCTGGGCGGGGAGTGTGGTGACATATTGCTGTGTGATCCCAGTCAGTCACTTTCCCTCTCTGTACCTCATTATTGTCAGTAAAATCAAGAGATGAAACTAGCCTATCTAATTTCAAAAGCCTGTGTGAACCCCAGACACTGGGCCACCTAGAGACGAGTTCTGCTCTAGCACAGTGATTCTCTACTAGGGGCAACTGTGGCCCTCAGGGGACATTTTAGTTGCCACTACTGGAGTAGGGGTGCTACTGGCATCTAGTGAACAGAGCCCAGAGATACTGAACAGCCAACAATACATAGGAGAGCCACACTGAGAACATTCTGGCCCCAAATGTCCATGAGATTGAGCAACCCTGCCCTGGCAGGACAGGGAAGGCAGAAGAAGCTCCTGGGACTCTGCTTCCTCAGCTGTAAAACTGGGCAAAAAAAAACTGCCCTGCCTACCAGGTACTGGCTCACCATACCCATTTCCAACCCCTTTCCCATAGAGACCAAGAAAGCAAAGCATCCTCTTTAACCCAGCTTCCCTTGCAGCTAGGGGCAGTCATTTGACTTGGTTCTGGCCAATGAGATCAAAGAAGTCTACCTGGGCCTTGGGGAAAGTGTCTAGCTTACTGATAAAGGTACCACGGTGGGCCTAGCCACTTCCACCTTCTTTGTGCCTCCAACCCAGAGGTCACACATGAGGTGATGATCACTACCTTCTGACACAAGGGCACAAGCGAAAAAACACAGGCCAACACGCGACAGACAGCAGAGCTAGGCTCCAGCTGGCATCATGGGAGGGCGCCACTGAACCCATTCCAGCAGCCGTACACACTGCACTTCTTGGAATGCAAGAAAAAGAAAGCCTTTTTTTAAGTCATTTATTAGTTTTCTATTGCTTGCAGCCAAATGCCTGCTGATGAAGAATTAATAAATACTATGTCTGGGACCAGCAGTTAGCATAATGGCTATGTCGCTGGACTCCCATGTAGGATGTGGTTCGAGTCCTAGACCCGGTGGCTTAAACGCACGCTGGGCACGTGTGCGTGCATGCCCAAGATCCTGAGAGGAGAATGGAGGAGAAGGGATTGTGGCGTGGTCATTCCCCCTGGGGAGTGATTTCTCACTTTCTCTGGCTCTGTCTCGGTTTTTCTGGTGAGCACACACGCCCTATAACAAAAACCTCTCCAAAAAAAGAAAAATAAATAAATACATAAATACTATGTCATTGGTCTATTTCTAACAAAAATCCTTCAGAGGCCCAACTTTATAAACAAATCAAATGTGAGATGTTTTGGCTGAATTAGGGGGAGGACCCAGAGTCCAGCTTTAAAGCTTCTACCTCAAACCCAAGAGATGACTTCCTGGGGCTCTCTGTGTGACACCAGGGGACCCTGGAACACAGCCTGGAAAACAAGTCCCCACGAGCTGTGTAAACACTGTGGGGAAGATGAGAAGTGTTGCCAGCTGAGGGAATGGCTTGGCCCTCAGGCTGGACTGAGCAGACATGACCCAGGCTCACGTCCACCCAAGGTTACACTGTGGGACTTATGGCCACGTGTTTGTCATTGACACCACTAAGTCAGCCACTCCTCAACATGGCATTTCACTCAGTCTCCTTTAGCCCCCCTGAGGGCTGTCTGAGCCCAGGCCTTTCCTCCATCACCCAGGCTCTGCACACCTCCTGACCCCGCACAGACCACCTACAGGGTTCACCGGGAAGAAGGCCAGGGAGACAGGAGCCAGGAGAGGACACTCACCACCTTGGCTTCTCCCTGCAGGCAGGAGGGCCTCTCTGCAAAATAAAGAGAAGGGGACAAGTCAGGGAGTGTGACTTCCTCAGGGAACGTCTGTTCTGACCAGGAGGACAGCATGCGGCCCAAGCAGAACCCGTGGAGTAGGCCAGCCCTAGGAGGAGCAATGGCTGACCAGACAAGGTCCACAGAAGCCCCACCCTGTCTTCCAGCTGGGCCGACACTGTTCCTCTATCTTCCTACCCCACCACTCTCCAGCCCTGCCTTCCTCCAGCCGTGCCCTCTATCTGTTACTTTCTCCTGGGCACACCCCACCCATCAAGCTCTTACCCAGCTCAGGGGCCATGTCTTCTGGGAGGACGACTCCCCCAGGCTTCCTGGACAGGAATCCTGAAGTCCACCCCTGGGCACAGCCTGAGTGCCTCTTCTCTGTCAGCAGCTAAGTCCACCCCAGGCTCTCAGCTCCTACGGAGCAGTGGACTACAGTTCTGTCTGACCCCGAAGGCTGGACTCCCAGGAGGAGGCACCTCAGAAAAGCTCCCTGTGCAAGTAGATGAAGGAAGGGAAGAACAGCATCTTACTTTTCTTCTGGGCCAGGATGACACAGTTCACCAGCACTATTATTATTAGCAGACTGGAGGCCACACCCACAATGAGCCCTAGAAAGAAAAAAGAAGCTCAAATGGCCACAAAGAAACAAACATACCAGGGGCCCAGCAGGGCCATCAGAGACTTCAAAGGGCTCTGTAGTAGCAGGAAATTGGAGGAGGAGGTTCTCAAAATCCATTACAAACATAACATGTGTAGGCCATGTCCCACCTAATACAATCCTAATCCTG